ACCTTGGAATATTTGTGAGAGATTATCTCTGGAATGACAGACTGTTCTATATAATCTTTAATTCCTTCTAAAAACTATCACTCGGATACAGATCAAATGGATTTTGATCACAGTATAACAAATGAAATCTCTATCTTACCACAGAATAATAAAGTTATCCTACAAGAAGTCAATATTTTCACCACTTCTCTTTCCCAAATTCTTTTATAGAAACTCAACTTATAGCAGCATACTCATATATAGCTTTATAAAAATAACCTAATTATAAATGATATCAAAGTTGAACTTTTCAATCCTTACTTATTACCAGATAACATTCTACTTGCAATATTCAATATTGTTCAGTGAAACCAGCATTGCAACACTATTGAAATCAGAAATAACAAAAAAATTCTTTAACCAGTTCTTGAATACCCTAGAAGAATAGTGAAAATCAATTTCTCAATATTAATCCAAAGAATAATTCTTTAAATACAATAAAAATCAATACAAATAATATATATCAAACCTAAATCTAAACTACTGTCAACCAGATTTTTTCAATGGAACAATCCTCTATCACACTTTTCAGAAAATCCATTAATCAATAATACATGTCTCAACAGTAGTGTTAAGTGATACAAAAAAATCTTTAATATTACCAGAAACTATATGATCTGTGAAAGTTTCTTTGTTACTCAAACTTTTGGATGGGAGTATACCTACATAACCTAAAAGTCATCATCAAATCCAATAAAAATATTAAAAAACTGTATAATAACAACTATAGCAATATAATTGTATTTAGAATCAAATTACTTTCAGATACTTTATCTATTTACAAAACCTTTCACTAGCTATATCCTGATCAGTATCCAAATGCTTGATGTTCAAGGTATGAATTTCATATTGAGGATATCCATTATATCTTCAAATATCCTGAGGCTTCTATCAAAACTGATTAAATAATTAAAAATATTAATCAAATTTTTTATCCAAACAGCAATCAATACCAATTTCACATATATAACAAGTAGCTGAACTATCTTGTGACTTTACAAATAAAATTTTTTTTATATCAAACTTCTCCAATTGGATTGAGACAGTTAGCAAAGCTATAACTTAGTTATACAATCTTATTTGAAAACCATGCTACTCTATAGCCAACACGTCACCATCTATCAAAATTAAATGGGACTCTAATAAATCTCCTATATCACCTCATTCTTCTAAACTATCCAACAATCTCAACTTTTAAACTGAAACCCCCAATCAACCATTACTTCCCCTAAAGAAATTATAATTGATCTACTTAATATAGTTTCTAACACATTTATCCAATGTAAATATAATTATTTCAAATGTATTCAAAAATTAATAAATATTACTATTACCTGATATCTCTTCCCTTAATACTAAGTAAGTATTCATAGCTGCTCGGTATTATCTGACTGTAGATATATTGTTTTAAATTTTCTTTTCAATATTAGTTAAATAGTTACTGTAGACAAGCTAGCATTTAACTCATTATACTTACATATGAGAAATATTGTTTCTTTCATAATGTATACCTTGACATATACAAACCAAATAAAGAAATTATGTTTATCTACAAAAACTTCATAAATACTTGTTTGATTACGGAAAAAAAATTAAAAAAATTTTTGTTACATTGTATTTTAGGTTCATATATAAGTTGAAAAATATTGTGAAGAAAGAATTTATGCATGAGTTTAGCATTGAGGTTCTGTATATGGGACACATTCTTAGACACTTTAAATTCTCATGTGGAAATGTTATTTTGAGAAGGCTAATATTATTTAGGTATTAATCAATATAAAAAATTTGAGTTTTAAATTTCTCGTATTGTAGCGGAATGACGGTCATGAAGACAAACCTTTGATCAATTCTCGTGTTTACTGTAATTATTATTGGTCTGGGCTAAAGTCAAAAATTGCATAAAGGTCGACGAATTTCCTTTTCTCGTTTTTTTTTCATAAATATAATTTCCTTGCGAAAAATACTGGATTTCATAATTTTATTATTCTTCCGCAAATTTCAAATTTGGTTTTCAAATATACTACGTAAATACTATTTGTCACGTGATCACTTGGATGCCTTTAATTCTTACGGCTCTCGTCACAACAGTCCTGTCCCTAGGCCACAGTTTTCTCTTAGCCACGGTCTGGTTTCGTTCTCGCTCAAGTGGAGGCACCTTTGATGAATTTTGTCATGCGATTGCGCCACGGTTTTGTACATAGCCTCAGTGATCTTGCTTTTCTTGTTATGGATAAGCCTTTTCAATGTAAGGTCATTTTGGAAAGGTCGTCGCATTGCTACTGTACCTTTCTGTGGCTTTAGGAATAAGACATCGATCCTTTAAAAAGTGTAGGAACACTACGGATTCTGTAAACAGTTTTTTATTCTGAGTGAGGTTACCCGAGCATCGACAAAAATTAAAAGATCATAAAAAAGGGGGAGAGGATAAAAAAAAACCTTAGTTATGCGCACTGAGCATTTGTTTTCGTGTTTCCATCTCTGATGTGTTTTTATTTTGATTTGGTCATGATTTTCCTTCTATGTAAAAATTCGAGGCTGCCATAAACTTCCAAGCCAAGGACTGGTAGCGAATACACATGTAATTATTATTTTCCAATCTAAACTCATTTCGACTAAAGTCTAAATCAGCAAAGATAATATATTCGATTTATGGTCAGCATAAGTAACGGATGAATTTGCTTAAATTAATCACCTTCGAAAACTGTGTAAGAACCTGTTTCTTATAAAGGATCACGACACATTCATTATAATTTCCAGTTTCCCTGTTTGTTTATTATTCGTTAATAGAAGAAATAAAGACAGTAGATGACAGACGAAACCACCAATCACCTCTTAGCCGTCACCAAAAATAGTCATGAAAAATTAGAGAATAACCCCTCTATACATTCAATTCCCAACTTTCTTGCAAATCTAGGAAGCGGATTTATGCCATACGATGATAAGCTAATTATACCTTCGATGATAGTCACGACACTTGAAAATCCCAAGTATGCAGAGGAAGAGGATGAATGTGATTTGAGCGATGAGGATGAGGTTGAAAGAGAGAAACCAGGGTCGAAAAAACTATGGATCGCTATTGGAATATCACTGATCTTCTTCATCATCGAACTTGTCGGTGGGCTGTTCTCTGGAAGTTTGGCGTTATTGAGTGATTCATTTCATTTATTGAGCGGTGAGCCTTTTAACGGATGAATGATATATGGTCGTAATATACAAAGGTTAATTTCGGATTGTTGATTTTCATCACAATCTTAGATTTAGTTAGCTTCACAATTTCTCTGTTATCCATATATCTATCCCATCGTCCCGCTTCAAAGTGTAGGTATTTCGCTGGAAAGGTTCTGCCAATGTCACATATTCATAATTATGTCTAATAATCTACTGCCTATTGGACAGCGCATTCATATGGATATTACCGAGCTGAAATATTGGGTGCACTTTTTTCGATTTTGCTCATATGGATTCTCACCTGCTTCCTGTGTTTAGAAGCCTACGATCGAATAAGCAATCCGAAAGAAGTAGATGGAAAGACCATGTTTATTATATCCTGCATAGGCGTTTTTGTCAATTTGCTGTATGTTATTCATCTTTCCATTATTCGAAATGATGATAAATTGACTTTTTTTTTCATCGTTAGGTTAATTTTCGTACTAGGCCATACTCACTTTCATAGTCATGACAGCAAAGACAATAAGGACAGTCATAATAATGGAGATGGCGTTAATATTCGAGCGGCTTTACTGCATGTGTTTGGCGATTTACTCTCATCATTAGGAGTCTTGATTTCATCAATCGTCATTATCTACGATCCAAGTAAGGTGTGGGTAGATCCGCTGTGTACATTTTTCTTTTCGGTATTGGTAATGGCGACCACGTTTGGAATATTGAAGAGTAGCATAAGAGTACTGATGGAAGGTTTGGGCTCATTTTGTGATAGCGCACTAATCGTTATCGCAATCTTATAAATCTATTTTCTATCTAATTGAACCTGGGCTCACAGCGACGCCACCTCACATTGACATACAAGCCGTAAAATTAGACCTGAAGTCTATCGAGGGTGTAAGGAGCGTACATGACTTGCATGGTAAATTCACTCTTTCTTTCTGGGATTTTGTGATTTCAACAGAGCACTCACTGAAAATTTTCGCGTTATTAATAATAGTCTGGGATTTGACTGTTGGAAAAGTAAGGTTTTTTTTTTTTTTAGCAACAGTAGTTTATCCGGACTTGGATTTTTTGTGATTCAAATTTTATCCTTCATTCCAATTAGACAATACTCGTTGCCCACCTAAAACTCCAAAAATACAGTCCAACTCAATATTCCGAAACATTCACGCGATCCTCAATATTATCAATGGCCCGAAAGATGTTGAGAAAGAAATATAATATTTTTATGGTAACTATACAGATCGATGAATGAAATACAAATAAAAATCAAAGAATTTATTTAATTTGTACCGTATATGTTGGACATGGATTTTTTCATCATTCAAAATTGTAATTTTAGAATGATTAGATTAAAATGCAATATTTAAAAACGTGATTATTCTACAGCTTTGTATACACACTATACTACTTTTAGAGTTGATATCGAAAATTGGTAAATTAAAATCTTAATTGGTTTCAAAGAGACAGTTTTATTAAGTCAACAAAATCATTAAGTATAAACACACTTTTTGCCACTATCTAATACTTGAAAACTTGGAAAGTGATTTTCTTAATTAATATAATAAAAATTAAATAATAGTCTGATCTTTTAATATGTTAAAAAAATAATAAACTTTGTATTATAAAATCTTTTTTCCAATTTTATTAATGTTTTTTTTTTATATTATAAAATTCATTTTTGATATTTATAAATAAATGTGAATAATTTGGCTCTTACCCAGCTACATCAAACAATTAAACTCGCCTTTCACCACAAATTACACCACCTAATTCTAGGAGATTT